GAAGGACATCAGGTGGTTGGTGTCTTCGGGGCCTGATTACAACATCAGCTACTTGAAGGATCCCTGTTGAGGGGACTCCCCTCAGCCTTCCCCAGCATCCCAAAACTCAGCCATGCACCTTGTGTGAATCCAGAAGTTTCCTAGGGAACCTAATTCTTCCTCAACTGCTGAAAGCTGAGGTCAGGAGAGCCCTGGACATGCACAAGTAGGGAGAGAAGAGCGTTTCGCCAAGCCTGTGTCTTTCCCTTTCATCCTTCTGCAGCATTTTCTGAGTCCCAATTGGAATAATGGACCTGAATGTCTTGGATTACAAGAGCCCCAAAGTCTCTGCCTTCCTGAAGTCTTGGATTAGCTTTTTTTTTTTTTAACTCTAGGCATCTAATGTAAATGTTCCAAGTGGTTAATATTCTCCTGATAAGAAAACATATGTTCCCCAAATTTAGCGGGAGTTGTAATAGAATCATGTTTCTAAATTCTTAATCCACAAAGAAGGAGCTTAAATCCCAATAGCATTCCAATGTTGGCTTTTTCAGGAATACTTACAGAGTAATTTAGGCCTGATTATTAAAACAGCAGGTAGCTGGCTTCCTTTCTGCTCACTTAAGAAAAAAAAATTGAACCACAATTCATAAACTAGTCTCCAGTACCTCTATAAATTGAAAAGATTTTCTTCCCAAGTGGACAGCTCCAAGCAGTTTGAGAAGCTTGTGAACCAAGGGGTGGGATGTTTCTTAACAGGGCTTCATGGGAAAGTGTCTGGCTTGGGCCCTTTGCCTGTATTACTCACGACCAGCCAGAAGCAGAGGGAATTATCACAATGAGACAATAGAAACTGTGAGACTTGGCATTGGAGGGAAGGTGGGATTCCAGTATAAATCTCCCCTATCTTCAGTGTCAAAGCAAACCTCCAGATCCCACCAACTGCCCCAAGGTCATGCAGTGGTGAGACCAGAAACACTCCTTGAATCTTTGCCAGCATCGTGATTATCCCTTTCAAAAATAAAACAATAACCTAAATGCTCAAAAATTAATCTGTAAAAATGACAGTTGTTCTCAGTTCTGGCAAATCCTCAGGCTCACGGAGAAGCTTTGTAAAAGATCTATGTGGCCTTGGGCAAGTCGCAGCAACTTCAAGACATGGTTTTGTCATTTGTGCAAGTAAAATATTAACATGCTCTCACTGGGTCCCAGTATGAACGAGTAGGTATAAATGTGCTTGATATCTTGTAGATACTTAGTAATTGTTATTTGCTAAAATAAGTGTTATTGAATAAATGATACTTTAACCATAACATATCAATTAAACATGTCCCTTTTGTTTGGTGCTGAAACAACCTTGCATTTAATCTCCCCAAGATGCTAGATGGCAGATACAAATTTTACAGAAGAAACTGAGACTCCAGGAAGGTAAATGATTTTTCCAAAGTTACACAGCAAGTGGTAAGGCTGGAATTGAAACCCAGGCATGCTGCATTTAACAGCCATACTTTTAAACACCGTGACCTCTTCCTCCAGAAAATAAGGAGAAACAGATAGTCGTGAGGCAAAGGCTGAATGTGATGAATTGCCTTTTGCTCTTTTAATCCCCACCCAGACTTCTGGAAAGGAGGAAGATGTTTGTGTAAGCTTTCTACTGTCTCAAGGACACTGTGCTCAGAAAACTTCATTGATTGCTTTCACATAGTGGCAATTTTGCCTGTTCCTCAGAACCCTCAAAAACAAGGCTCGTGAGGTCACCAAAGCAACTGACAATTGTGATGTTCCTAAAGCTCTTTTGTTCCTAATTTCTCCACGATGGTCAGAGAGAGCCCTGGGCTTCAAGCAAGAAGGTGGCAGAGGATGGAAGACCTACTGGCTTTCCATCGTGATTTACCTGCTCACTTATTAACACTTGTTCTGAAAGGGATTTCCAGTGGAATTTCTCATCAAACACAACCATCAAATATCTGATGAGGAAGAGATGGCTGCAGTGCCCACAGAATAAATGGAGTCAATTTTGAGAGTGTCTTAGCATCTCTAGAAAAGAGGTCTCCCAAGACTGTCCAGAGCAGGAGCTGTGGAAGGGCTCTTATGCACTCACAGTAGAGGACCCTCAACTGGTGCTGTTAAACTCAACACCAAGGCTTCCTGCACAAAAGCACATTCTCCATTTTTTAAAATTGCATCTCTAGAGAAAATGAGGGTCCCAGGAAGGAGGGAAGGCAGGCCTCCTTTTTGCTGCTGCTTCTTGTTACTGAACCAGATTCCTCCCTTAGCTTTGGACAGATTGCGTTGCCTAGAACAGAGAACCAAGCATGTGATATTCTGCTGTAGGGATGGATGGCTCTATAGGACTGAAAACGGGGGCAGCAAGGGGCAATACCAGGGAAGCTGCAAGCAGGTCCTGGATCCTGACTTGAGGCTTTAGACAGGCAGCAAAATGAGGTACATGGTGCCCCTCAGATCCACCTGGCAAATATTAGCTGCACTTTGAGCTGGCTGAGGAGGATTCAAAAACAAACATCACAACCCTTGCCTTTAAGGAGTTTGTAGCTAATGAAGGAGACAGGCACACAAATGGGTAATTCCAATACAATTTCTTATGGGATTCATTCTCACTTTCTACCTCTGGACCAGACACCGTGTAACCTGGTAGGGGTTCCAGTCACCAGGAAACTTGGGGTATAATGCTGCACTCTAATGCTGAGGATACTGTGATAGCCCAGGGGAGGGCATCTGCCTGAAATGGAGAAATCCCCAAAGAGAAAACGGACAGAAAAGAAACTCCATGAGCAAATCCACAGTGGCATGAAACATTTTGTACCTAGGATACTGCGTGACTGGCTGGGTGTGCATCGCTTCTTCTACCATTATGACTTTCAGATGATACTGCTGACAAAACGCCCTCCTTTGCTCCACTGGTTTGTTCTTAGGATTGAACTTGAACTTGGGGCCTCTTGGCCATGGTCTGCAGCAGTTTCATGATCTCATCCTCCAGATGTGATGGGCCAGTCTAGGTTTCACTCCTGGGGCCTATAATCAGGTATATTCCCCTTTATTATATGCAGTCTCTCTCATCCACACATCCTCCCATTGCAAACTCCATAGGGATGAGCCTCACAACCACGATGTGAAAACTGTACTCATAGTGGGCTCTGAAAAAAAAAAGCATAAAAGGCAGCTGGTTATTGTGGGGGCTCAGAGTTGAGCCCAGATAAAAAGCTATCTGGAACTTGGCAGGGTTTTGGTAAAGGCTGGCATCGCTTTTCTTCCTTACCAGAAAACAACACTGCCACACTCTACCCTCACTCCAACCCTGTAAGGTCAGTGGTATGCTTTCTGTTTTCCTGATGAGGTGCCTGTGACTTGGAGGCCTTCAGTAATCTGCCCAAGAACTTCCTGAACTTATAGTCAAGCTAAGATCATTGTTACCTCTGCCTCAAACATGCTTCCTTAAGGATTTTGGGTCATATTATTCCTTGGCATCCAGGTTTTAGCCTTGATGTGAACTCTCCATCTGTCACTTTTCCCATCACTTAACTCCTCCAAATAGGACAGCACAGGCCTATTCTTCACCTGCCTCTCTCCTCTGGCTTCTGACTCATTCACTGACATATCCTTCAGAGGATATGTCCATAGAAACCCACACTAATAGCTGCTGAGTGAACAAAGTCACCTGGTTAGTTGCTAAGTTCAGCTGTCTCCATGGAACTGGTGTCACCATCATGGACCGCGGACTTGTTCAGAGCCCCCTAGTGGCTGCAAACTGACACAAAGTCCCACAAATACAGGACTCACTGAGCTTCTCTCAGGTGAGCAAAAGTAATTGCATAGATTTTCATTTCTACTTTGGCAAAAGAATACCATCTATGACAAACATTTGGAATTCACAAACTAATAGTATCCTTAACTTACATTCCCTGGCGACCACATTTACTCTCCACACACAAGTCTGGCTGAGGATAGTCGCACAGTCTCTCAGACTTGCATCCTTGCATCCTTGCAAAGCATGGGATGCTTAACGTTGTCAGCAAGCCCACATTGTCAGTCCCTGTAAGCATTGCCTCGAATCAGCTCCGACTTTCAATCGCTGCTATTATGTATCAATCAATTCCTGTGTGCATTAGCTCTCAGTGTTTATTTTCGTTGATTGCTCTGTTCTTGTGTGGTGCCATTTTGATTGTGATTTTGTTCTCTCCAATGCTTTATTGCCTCCCAATTATTTTTCCACTGAAAAGCAAGGACACGATCATCAGCCCTACTTGAGAAAGTCACAGTTCTGAATGTTTGAGAAGCCTGGCACCCTCCATGCTCCTTTTCGTTTGAGATGTGACTGATATGTGTTCCTAAAAATTACCATGTGAGGAAAAGTGGGTAAAAGGAATTGAGAGGTACAACACTTGTCAACAGTGGCACATTAAAGAAAGGGGAAAGAGAAAACATTAGCAGTTTTATACAAGCAGTGCAATCAATGTGGCACTTGACCTTGAACAGATCTGACATTTGTTGGAATTGGATCCAACCCCAATAGCATCACAACTTTCCCTCCATTTTGGAGACTTCTTCTGCTCCTTTACAATGACATGCCAGCTGCCACTCTTCCTGTACCCACTTCCATCAGCAAATGTCAGTCCTCTTCTAGGTCACGTGCCATATTTATTGTAGTACTTATGTATTTGCATCACTGCCGATATTTCTGAGTGTCGTGACTCATTCCCCTTTTCCTGCAACACATGGTGAACTAAGGAGGTGGTAAATGTCTGTGGCATGCACATGTATGTGCTTGGTATGTTCCCTATGTGGCTCTGTTCAGCCAAGTACAGTTTTCTGTATTTGCCTAGTACATCTCCGGAGGGAAATCTTGCATCAGCAAATGTGAAATTTCCTTTACCCTCAAACTGTTCCCTAATATATCTGTTGAGACAAATGATTTATGGGAAGGAATGCTCATTTTCAAAACAAGTGTTCTGGCAGGACTGACTGCACCTGATTTACTGTTCATTTTTTCCTTGTTTACTCAGACTGGACCAAAAGGATTGAGTACCAGCCTGGCTCTGGGAGCATGCCCCTGTTCCCCAGCATCCAGCTGCAGACGTGCGATGGCGCTGTGTCCTCCCTCCAGGTCACTGCAGAGCTGCAGACCAATTACATCGGCAAGGGCTGTGACCGGGAGACCTACTCTGAGAAATCCCTTCAGAAGTTATGTGGTAGGTTTTTCCCTGCTGGAATTTGTTAAATTATTTGCTTTCCAATGATATATACAAATAAATCCTATCTTATTATATTGAAAGAATCAGTCCTCCCCACCTGTCTCAGCCCCCCGGACAGATATTTACTGATGGCAGCAGGGTCACAAGGCAGATTTTAGCATTAGACGTAGCTGATTCAGACTCCACTTTCCAATCCTATGACCTTGGCCAAATGACATGGTAAAGTCTCCATTCTTCACTGGTAAAACAGGGATTAAATAGCACAGCGTGTCTAAAAGCACCTGGCACAGAGCCAAGAGTCACACAAACTCCTTTCTGCCTTGCTTGTTGGTCCACAGGCCCAGAGCCAATATGAATATTGGTGTCAGGCACTTAGAATGGGATTTGTTTCCTCTCTCCCAGGCAGCTACAGAATTTTCAAAGCCCAGTGCAAATGAATTATGGAATCCTTGTTCAAAAATTATCAATAATTTTAATATGGCAACAGAAAAGCATTAAACCAGGTGCCCACAACTAAGCATGGGACCCTGTGCAACTACTTGGGTTATAATTGACTGAAATGGGTACATATCTTGTTGAGTGCAAAGTCAAAAAAAAGCATAATCAAGAGATAAAAGAGTGGAGAGAGATTTATTACATGCATCAGTTAAAGAGAGCACAAGTTATTTTCAAAGCAATGCCCTCCTCGGACAAAGGAAGCATGAAAATGTTACTCTGGAAGCCTAGACATCTTCATGGGGAATCACTTAGGGGACAGGCAAATTCTCCAGGATATTCAATTCAAAACATTCCTGAGAATGCTCAATTTAAGGTCATAGTTCAAGAAGGAGAGATGGCAGACAGGAACACCTCTAGATATGTTTCAATTGCATTGTAAAGATGGCGTGCAGGATCTTCTCTGAGCTTGCTTAGCTTGCATCATAAAGATAACAGACATGATTGCTCTGGAAAGCTTAGCTTCTTTTCCCAAAAGGGTTTCAGCTTCAGCCAAGAAAGGACACTTTGAGGTATGTTAATGTGGAAGTTTGTCCATCAGAGTGCCTACCTTACTGAGCTGCTAGCAAGGTCACAAGCCCATGAAACTGGGCCTGCCAGTCGCCAGCAGGGAGGAGCTTGGTGTGGGGATGGAGGTGGGAGTTTCATGGGCAAAGAGATGATGCCACAAGAAAGGAAGCAAGCAGGAATTAGGAAACCAAACCAACAGAGATGCTATGAAAGATGGGTGTGGAGGAAATCTACACACCCACTGTGTGTACCCATGAGTCTCTTTATGCATTGCTTGATTTAATTCCCCTCTCTTCACTGTGGAGAAGATGTAATTTGCCCAGTTTTAGACATGGATATTTTGGGGCCCAGAGAGTGAAAATGACAAGTTCAAGTTCACACAGATAGAAAGTATCAGAGCCAGAATTTGAAGGTAGGTCTACCTGAATGTCAGGGTCTTTAGGTTAGCCTCCACCAAGGCCAATCAGGCCTCCAGAGCAAGAATGGAACTCTCTCCAGTGAGCCTGTGAAGGAGCTGAGCATCCTGTGAGGTAGGGATGATCCCAAGTGCATGGTAAGCCAGACTGTTGATGTGTTGATGGATCCCCTTTATCCACACCCCAACCTCTAGTTCACTGTTTCCTTGTTCTCTTCAAGAACGTACAGAACTACATTTGACTTCCTGCCATGTGGTGGGGGAGCTTAGGAAAGGGCTTACTCCTACACTGGGGGTAACTGCACTTCCTCAAGAGGAAAAGGAGGTTCCTGAATGCACAGTCTGGTCTGGCCCCCCTCCCTGAGAGTCCCCTGCTACTATATTTGGGGCAGTTTTCCTGCCTAAACACTGGGACACATACCTCTTTGCCCATTCTGCTCTTGCCCAAAAACCCAAGTGAGAATTTCAGAAATGAAATTAATGGTGCTCTGGTGTCACCATGTTCTGTTCATGCCAGGCTGGCAGGGTAGACTTCTGGGACTGCAGACTGCTCTGTAGCAAAGCAGTAGATTTGTAAAACACCACAACTCCAATATTCCAAATGGCTCTTGCAAAAAATAGATATCTGAGAAAATCTGAGATATTCAGAAAACTGCCCCCAGTCCTTTCCTTCCCAGTGGTGTGCAGACACCATCTAAGACAATGTCTAACTCTGAGGGAATATCTCATTTCCCTCCCCGTGTACGTTGAATGGAAATCAACTCGACCCCATGCCACTGTGGGTTACAGTCATTTCCTGAACTCCTCCAGGTTAGAAGCAGATGATGAATCAGCTTGTTAAAGATCAGAGGGGCCCGAGGGCACACATCTGTGACTTGATTTTCAATGCTGCTGAGGAGAGACAGGAGACATGGAGGTGAGAAGGATGTTCTGAGCAAATAAACTTCAGAGCAAAATTGCGTGTGGTGTGTTAACAGTTCACCCTCTCCAGTCTGCCAGCCCACCTTGCTGAAAAGTATCCTCACTTAGCCTGGAAAGGAAGGCAGTTTCCCACAAGTGCAGCTTCATCCAGTGAAGGGAGATGTCCTTTGAATGTCCTTTTGTGACTGTCTGGGAAATCTTGTCCAGTAACCCACAGTGCCCAGGCCAGTCCTGCCCCATGTCAAAAGCCTGACTCTTTATTGCACTGAGAGAGAGCACAGAAAGAAAAGGGCAGAAGTAAAGACACCAGGCTCTATCTAAGCTCCAAGGCAGCATCACTCACAGAACAGAGGCTGGGTTGTATGCCCTCAGTCTTGTGGGCACCCCAGCTTCTAGACACAAACTTCTGTATGTTTTCAGCGGATGACAGGAAGGATTCTTGCTGTTAAGACACTTTAGGCTTCAGCCTTCATGCATTTTTCATCCTACAAATCTTTATGGACTTTGGAAGGAAACAGGGAGACCAAGTAGGATGTTACTATAGAGTCTAAGCAAGAGATAATGAGTTCTGAACCAGGGGAGTGGCAGTAGGGATGAAGTTAACAGAGTTAAGAGGCAAAATCAGCAAGATTCAATGTTGGAAGGGAGAGAGAAGGAATCATCTAAGAAGGCCCCATTGTGAGTGGCTAAGTGGACAAGGTTGCCAACAATCAAAACAAAGAATCCAGGGCCAAGAGCAGACTTGGGTGTCAGTGATGACAATCACCTGTAGAACACCAAATTCTAGCCTGCCTCTCTATTCTCTCTCCCAGAGCTTTGCCTCTGCCCTGCAAATCAATCCATCATGGTAGCCACATTTCTTCCTGGCGCCCTGCCTCTACCTTTCTCCTGCAGAGCCTTTCCCTTCAGTCCCTAGTCCCTCACCCTGTGCACACTGGGGTGTGTCTTGTGCTTCCATAATGGCTGGAGCTCTGGAGCTTCCTCTGTGGTGCTATGATTGAGCAGTGATCCAGCCAGGGATGTTTTCCCAAGGGTCATTGTCTTGTCATTGTCTGCCTGCTTCCTCTTCCTGTGGCACTGACTCTTTGGCAGACAATGAGAGAGAATCCTGTTTAAGGGGACAGTGGACAAGAGATGGCATCAGGCCTGATGTCAGGAAGTACCTGAATGGCAGCTCCTGAAATGGACCCAGAGATGCCCTGGGTGTTGGTCATGTTGCTTCCTGAGGTTTCTATGTGGAGATGCCTCCATGTAGACAAAGCCAATGGAGGGCCCTGAACCTGTGTCCCATTCAGCTTGTAGGCCAGATATAGCCTAAATTGGTCCCTACTCCTCTGGTTTTACATAAAGCCAGGCTTTTTGGAGAAGCTGAACAACTGCTTATCACTTCTTCCAATTTCAGGGATTCAGGTGAAAGGCCTACCATTACAGTACCCGGCTTTCCAGAGGCAAAGTGTTACAGAACTGTGTTGAATATGAAATGCATGAAGAAGCCCCAGTGAGACCTCGCAGCTAAATCAAATTTGACATTAACAACAGCCCAAGAGAGGGCCCACTTCAGCGACCTTGAGTCACTACATATTATATGAAATATAAAAATACTTTGTGGTGCATATGCCCTTTGTAACAGAGAGGTCAGGAGCTGTTCCTTCGGGGAACCACAGGGCTCCTGGCAGCTGGCTGGTACCTCCCGTATACCATGCTAGGGGCAGCTGTTTTGTTTGTGAGTCAAGAGCTCCCAGGACAAGTCCTGTTGAAGAAAGGCCTCAGACTATAAGCATGCTATTAAAATCAAGTGACTCATGCTATTAAAAATAGTGCAGACAACCAGTGTTCTTTGGATTTGTACACTTGTGAGCCAGCAGATTTTTATAGAGGACTCCTTCTTTCAGTCATGTATTTATTATTATGTATTACCTGTTCAAATGCTGTGCTAAATCTTGAAATAATATAGAGATTAATAAACACACTTAACAATTCAGTCTCCTGGGAAGACAGACATATTTTTTTAAATACAATTTTTTAGGAGCTATGAGAATCCATGGTTTTCTGGGTAGGTATCCATAGCCCTAGAAATTCAGGCTTCTGATTTCAAGGCCTTGGGGACTTGAGAAAAAACCTTTCTTTTCCAGGATTCTAGTGGTGGAATGATAGCTTGATTGTAGCCCCACTAGGGTATAAGCTCCTGAAAGGATATCAGGGACTCCTCTTTACCTATGCTTCAGGTATGCAGATAGACACATAGAGCTGCTGATATCAGTCATTTACCTGAATTATCAGTCAGGAAAAGACAGGTTATTCTGCAGTAACAGAGGATTTCACAATCTCATTGGCTTGAAATCACAGGTTTACCATTCCTTCCACACGTCTTTATTCAATTGGCTGCTGATCTGCTCCATCATGGCTCCCCAACAGAGGATCCAGGCTGATGGCACAGCCTCTGTATAGAACATTGTTGATCTCAGGGCAGATGGGAAAAAACCATGGTGAATCATGGACTAGCCATGAAGAACTTCTGCCCTGATCTAACACATCATTTGCACTCATTTCATTCATCAGAGCAATGACTGAGCTGATACCATGGGTAAGAGAGGTATATTGCAAATAGATAAATTCCCCTGCCACCCAGTCCTGGTGGTCCATTAGGCACTTGTAAAGGGTCTCCCTGGCTTCCCCTGTGACTCTCTACCACTGAACTGCTCCAGCCATTTCACAGTTCCTTCTTTAAAGTAAAATACTCCCTGAGTTCCCAAAGGTTGAGCCATTTTTGTCGGGTTCATTCCTGTGTTTTCATGACAGTGCCTGGCATAGATTGAACATTATGTAAACATTTACTGAAATGATATGGAGTAAATATTGTATGTCTGCCATGTTCCCATGTGTGATTTCCATGCAGAGAACACAGTATAGAATAAGCCTTGCTCCTTAATTGCACTGGTGCCTCCTTCTGAGACCCTCCCACTTATCCTCACTCTGTCACATGTCCTGTGATGGACCCTGACAGCTCCATGCCAGTCACCCACAGGCCCACTTTGAAGTTCTAAGGACACTATCTGTCCTTACTAAGGTCATTCATAGCAGAATGCAGGTCTATAAACTAAGTTCAAACAGTGACCACCAATTCAGGCCCCATTTTAACCCTTTTTTCCCCCTTTTCATTTTATCTTTGTAGTGGAACTGGGGTTTGAACTCAGAACTTTACACTTGCAAAGAAGGCACTCTACAACTTTAGCTATGCCTCTAGCCCATTTTGCTCTAGTTATTTTGAAGATGGATTTCTTGCAAACTGTTTTTCCAGGCTGAACTTGAACCACAATCCTCCCAAGTTCAGCCTCTCAAGTAGCTAGGATTACAAGCTACTGGTGCCCAGCCCCTTTCCACTCTTACACCATAGTGTGCTCTGAAATCTGCCTCATTCACCTCTGTCTATATCTCATGCGGCCTCAGAGCAGCTTTCTCACCATGGTAGGGACCAAGGACTGGAGTGAGAGCTCAGCTATGGCTCAAATCCCCCAGCACTCAGGTTGCAGCTCTGCACTGGAGCAATATGAATTCTCAGCATTGGCTGCTCCAGGGACCATCACAGGCTCCAAAGCTGCAACTGAAATACTCCCCGATGTGCAGATGATGGCGCACCGTCTCAGTGAGTGATGCATCCTGTTTACCCTCTGCTTTCCCTTGGGGAGAAGACACAGAACTTGGGAAGAAGTAAATCTTTCCCAGTTTGTTTAAGTGTACCAAGAAATGAAAAACAGTCTGTTAAGTTCCAGGCAGTCTACACCATCTGGTTAAATGCACTTCATACTTTCTGGCAGGCAACATCTGTGGGACAGGGAGGTTAACCTACCACTCTCCCTCCACAGGGAAGACAAGAGTGCTCCACATCAGTGGCCTTGCCAGGATACATGTTGTCCTCAATAGCATGGGTGGGAGCAGCCACCTGTATAGAGAGGTGGGGTCCTGTGGGACTGTGCTGTGTTTGGTAGGTCGACTGGTCCCAGGGACATTTCTGTGTGGCAGACAGAACATTGTCTGGTTGTCTGAGAGCTGCACTTGTCTCTAGCTACCTGTGTCACTGTGCAATCTTGGTCAGTTGTTTCTCCACCCCTGAGCCTCACATTCCATGTTTGCAAAATGCCCAGGAATTTACAAGATCTCTCACCAAATTCCCTGAGGCGATGCAGTTGGGATCCTGGGCTTTGAACCTGGGAAGCCTTGGTGATGGGTGCACTGACTAGCTGGTTGCAATCCTGGGCTCACTCAACCTGGGTGTTTTGTAAACTGGAATCTTAGTGGCATTTGCCACACCAACAGGTAACTAAGAAGGAGCATTAATTAATTCAGGTCTAGTATCCACTCAAGCCTAATAAAAAGTTCTTAGGGAGATAATAAAGTTATCCCTATAAAACTATGAAAATAAAGTTGTGTAAATATCAGTTATATCTGTATAGCAGGGCTAGTTTATTCTGTTAGCATTTTTACCTCCCAGCCTCTCTTTCCTGTCTCCTCTATTGGCTTAAACTAGTCCTTGCTATAAACCTCCCTCCCTTTTGCAACCCTGTTTGGGGGAAATTTTCAATTGATTCCTTCACTAGCCTAAGGCAGTAACTGTAGTGTGATATCTACAGGCACAGCAAAGTTCATATGCAAAAGTAGGTGGAGTTTCCAGCCTTATCAAACCCTATTCCAGGGTTCCTGTGTGGCTGCTGCATAATGGCAAAGATGTCCCCAGCCTTGATTAAACTGTGTTGGCATCATTGACGTGAATTAGAGTTTGTGAGCCCTGAGTGTTCAGCCCACATCTCTGTGCCCATCCCTTCAGATTTCAGAAACTAGTGCTCCATGTGGCCCCAGTCACTGGCTATCTTCCTGCTGGAAAAATCCTTGTGTCAGACCCAATGCACTTATGAGTCAAAGAAGCTGTTGCCATATTGTGTTATTCTGTGAGTGCTAGGAAAATGAATTTGCCTCAAAATACCATGTATCTCCCACTCCCAAACCACCCACAAGTCTCTATCCACATCCACCTTAATAGATGTCTTTCTTACTAATACCAACGGAGGGTGCCACTTTAGGAAAGCAAAGGCTTTGTTGGCCTTTAAAACATGAGTGTGAACTAATTTTTCAGATAGCTAATATCAGTCAAGGAAACAAGGTGAGAACAGATGTAATGAGAGGTGTAGAGCATGGACAAAGGACTGCATCGGCACCTGAGCTTTCTGTGAATTGCCAGGAGGAGCAGTTATAAATAGTAACTGAAGGCCCATTATTGTGTCAGGTACAGTAACAGGTTAGATCTCTAGGAAATACCCATATGAATAATGCCATTAATTCTGGCCACACTTCCCTAAATAAGGGTGTCTCCCACTTTCTTAGGCATGGTGGTTCTACAGCATGGAACTCTTGCAGTGCTAAGCAGAGCATTTGGCTCTAAGAAGTCATACTTTTCACATAGCATAGCCTTCCACTGCAAGCCAATGGCTATGAGACTGATGGTCTGTTCCAAGACTGGAGGGAAAAGGAAGTATATTGGTTTCCAGTATGGCACCTTCCTCAGGGATCTTGGGGATCATTTTAACCATAGATTTTCTTTCATGAATTGACCCCGAAACCCAAATCCTAGATGCATTGAGGCTCTTCTACACAGAAGTCAAAAACTCAGTGATCTTGACAAACAATAGAGAGTACACACAACCATCATCCACTAGACCCATCGGCATTTACAATGAACAGATGTGCTGTTCCAGGAGACAGCCCCCAGGCATCTTAGGCTCACACGTACACACCTTAGGCTCTCCAGTTCTTCTTATTATTTGAACATAACAGGAATCTCCCAGACCTTCTTCTTTCCTGAGAATCTGAGACCTGTCTGTATGGAACAGAAATTTACAGAGCCTCTCTGGACATTGAGCAGTGGCCTCTGAACAGTATAGTCCAGTCTTCTCTGACAGGCCAGCCTCTCCCTCTTCCTTTAGCCTTCCCTCCACAAAGCCACCCTGTGTTGCTCCCAAAACTCTGCACATACACTCACACTGCTTTAGATTAAGTCCTCCCTTGGCCTGGACAGACAGTGGTAGCAGAGATCATAATGATTCTGATGAGAAAGTTACAGCTAACACTGAGTGGACACTCACCATATGGCAAGCATGCTAGTGCATGCTCTTAGGCACTACCTCACACACTGCAGAGAGGGAATACAGAGTCAAAAGGGTACACAACTTGCCAGTAAGTCACAAAGCTACTAAGCCTTGCTGCCAGGTGTCAAAATCAAATTCAAATGCTGCTGACTTCAGAGCCTGTGTTTCCAGCCATGCTACGATTTGGCCTCAACAAGTGGCTGTAAAAGAGTGGTGAGCACAAAATGGTTCATACTCCTGATATGATCAGGACCTAGACCTTTCCAGAGTCACAGCCTAGACCACTCTGCAGCAACGTGTTGGCTCTGAGCTCTTCCAGGGAATGGACTGTCTGTCTGATTCACTTTCATGTGGCCAGCACCTAGCAGGGGTCTAGGCGCATGGTCAGTGCTCAATAAATGATAAATGGATTAATGGTTGCATGGGTGCATGAATTCATCCCTCCATCCAAATCAAACCTTGACCTTCTCCAGATACTCTCCCAAGATCCTCATGACTCTCTAATCTTCCCCAACACCACTTTCTATTTAATTGTTGAAGGTACCCTGCCTTGTAACATGCATTACTTTTGTCTGCAAGTTACCGATGCCTCCCCAAGAAGACCAGAAGCAATTCAGGAGCTGTGATGGCATTTTTTTTTTTTTTTGCACAAGTCACCTAGCTCAAGGCTAGTCACAATCCTCACTCAGTATAAACACTGAGTAGTCCTTCCTGACTAAGGAGTAAAACCCACCCCTGAGGACTGACCCTTTGTGCTCTCTTTCCTCTGTCCTGTGTCTCCTGCAGGAGCCTCCTCTGGCATCATTGACCTCTTGCCATCCCCCAGTGCAGCCACCAATTGGACTTCAGGACTTCTAGTGGACAGCAGTGAGATGATTTTCAAGTTTGATGGCAGACAGGGTGCCAAGATTCCAGATGGGATTGTGCCCAAGAATTTGACAGACCAGTTCACCATTACCATGTGGATGAAACATGGTCCCAGCCCTGGTGTGAGAGCAGAGAAGGAAACCATCCTCTGTAACTCAGACAAAACAGGTAAGTCTCTAGAGCGTGCTGTTATGTCCCAGCTGGTTGGGCACAGACATAGCTGTGGAGGATGTATAGAAAATTAGGAGTGTCACAGGTGCTCTGGGAATATATTCTGGTGTCTGGATTTCTGGATGCTGAATTGCTGGGCATGGAGTAAAACAGCAACAGGAAAGCAGGGAAAGTAGGAGTACAGATACAAAGAATGAAAAAGCTGCAATTATTGGTCTTCAAACTGGGTTCCTTGGAACCCCAGCATCCCCAGAAATGCTTTAGGGCTGCTATAGGTAAGGTAGAGGAATCTTCATCATTGCTCAATAAAATATTTCCACCTTGAAAATATTACATTAAAAATTTCCAAAAGCCTTCTTTTGAATCAAAGGGTCCTCCTAATTCAAAGTAGTAGTTTGGAAATCATTGCTGTTTGTAATAATGACATCTCACAGTTGTGCATTTTCACCATGCTAAGCCTGGGCAAGGCAGTTCCCTACACCATCCCTTTTTACTTCTGTGACCTTGGGCAAGTTGCTTAACCTCTCTGTGCCTTACCTACCCAGTGTATAAAGTGATCATTATAGTATTCTCTTCCCCGTGGGGTTTTTAGATGGATGAAGGGACTTTACATACATGAGGTGCTAAGAACAGTGTCTGGAACATAAAATGTGTGGTTAGTGGTAGATGTTACTATTCTAATCAGTTTTCCACACCACTACAAACAATTTTATAAAGGAATTATTGTGTTTTTCATCTTAAGGGTAAGAAAACATCCTTGAGAGTTTAAATAACTCATACTAGGTACCTACAGTTACTAAGCATCAGAATGGGAATGTCACCTTAGATCCAACTAAGTCCGAACTCTGTGCACCCCACATACACCCAAAGCACACATGCAAGCACACACATACACCCTTGCGCAAAACTTGCAAGTCTGTCTTTAATTCTCATTTCACAGTTTCCTGTTTCAAATACAACTTTTTAAAAAAAAAAAAAGCCAGTAAGTCACAACCATAACAGGAATAACAGTAAGAAGACAAGGCAAAGGAATGGCTGGCAGCTCAGACCCCACTGTGAGACAGCTAAAGTTCCTGTCTCATCTGGACCACACCTTAAGTGTGACCCTTGAAAGCCTCCACTTCCCCATATGTGAAATGGGGGAAATAAACATGAAATAAAGTTGAAATCATTTTGTAGCACCAGATGTATAATCAGGACTCCATGAATTTACCTGATATTGCCATTATCATTTTCATTAAAATGACTATCATTGTTACCGCTTCTTGTTTTATTCTACTTCCTGCTTCTGCAAGAACCTCCACATTCTGTATTGCAATTGACCTTTATAACATTAATGCGTTTTCTGGATGTGGAAACTAAGGCATGGTGCCTGGTTCTTCCCTGCTCACAAGATGAGTCTATAAAGGAGTCAGTTCCAGCAACAGGTCTCTGGACCTTCAGGCAGAAAGGACTCTCCATGAGCTGGCTCTAAAGCTTGGAGTTGAGCTTGGTGGCCTGGCCCTGGCAACACCTGGTGGTGTGCCACTATCCTGGTCCTGGAGCCAAAGACACAATGAGACAATGGCTTACAACTCTTCAGACAAATGCAAAGCAGCTGAGAGAGGTTCAGGGGCCACACACATACATGGTCAGTTCTGAGCTGTATCAAATGCTCTGGGAGGCAGAGCAGACATGAAGTCCCTCCCTACAGAGGGGACAACAGGAGTGTGGAAGGTCTCGTGATGGCCTAGGACAATGCAGACTTATACCAAGAACAGCAGGGTTGGTCCTAGGTCCTCTTTTGGTATATTTCAGGGCCAGACCGTTGCACCAGAGATTCTCAATAGAATAAACCAGCAAACTTGTAAAAAGAAAATATAGATACGGGGCCCCACCCTGGGTCCATAAACCAGCATCTCAGGAGACTGTATTGGGCAGTCATGGCTGAAAGCTTCATGAGACAGAGATGTCTGGTGTCAGCATAGCCGTCCACCAGCGAGCTGGGCAGCACCAGATTAGAAAGGCCCATGCTGTGCACCATCACCCTTGTAGAAAACCATACTTTACAGCAGCTCAAGATTGGCACAGAGAAGATGGAAAATTTTTCTCTAACTTCTCTGACTAAAAAAAAAAAAAAAAAGCTGTAAATACATCCTTATCCTAAGTCAAAATATTAAGAATAGTTTAAAGCCTCACCAGGGCTTTTTTATTATTATTTCAGAAAGTGTTTCCAGTTATAACAGCAATGCACACTTAGAGTAGAAACCTGAAAAGCACAGAAAAGTATCAAAATATACAAACCACTCAAAATTTGAACACTTAGGGAGATATTATCTGATAACATTTCATTAAAATGTAATTTTTATTTCTATGCATATGTAGAATGTTCTTACCATTTTAATATATTTTTATAATAATGTGATACTATTATCTGTTTCCTTTATATAACTATATCTAGATCATTTCTTTGTGTGATAAAATATTCTTAAGAAAATAAATTGCATATGGAGGAGTGGCCCAAGTGGTAGAGCATCTGCCTAGCAAGCAGAAGACCCCGAGTTCAAACCCCAGTACTGCCAAAAAGTTTAAGAAAGAAAGAAATTAATGGAAGTTAAAATTCAGCTATGTGAATTTGTCACAATTCATTTGATTTGCTACCTTTTTTTGAATGTTTAGATTGCCTCCTTTTGAATGAAAGTAAAGCAATGCTGTCGTGAGCATACTGGTATATAATTTTGGGACATTTCTCATTTTTTCCTGACTGGAAGTTGAATTACTAAATCAAAGAACATAAATGTTAAGAAGCTATTAATGCAAATTGTCAAATTGCCCTTCATGAAGATCACATTACTTTCTGTTTGGTAATAAGTAAAAGTTGTTAATGCCAGCCCATCGTGAAGTAATTTATAAATAGATGAATAGCAGAATTGATTAGTCAGCAAAAGCTAATTGCTGGGAAGAGACAAAGAGAAAAAGAAAGTCACTATCACCACCACCAAACAAAACTCTCCATGGCTGACACCATCCTCATGGTTTTCCCTCATGCACCATCCAGTGACCTTATGTGAGTATGGAGGGCAAGGGAAGCTCTGCTTGGCCCAAACATTCTGACACAAGTATCTCTGCATCATTAGGTGCCACCATTCTCAGCCACAGAAGAGGAAGTTAGAATAAAAGGTCTTATTGGCCAGGATGGCAGGTTTCACTTCCAATCGCCTTCCACTTGCCAGAACGTGCTCATGTTGCCTCACCTCTCCATGGGAAAGCTGTGAAATGCATTAAACTGTGTATCTACGAGCAAAGGAGACAGGGCTTAGTGGACACATAGCAGTGTCTGCCTGTGGGGCACTGGTGCCTTCATCCACCATTGCCTCCCCCTTCCCTGTGTGAGTGATGCTTTTTGTGATTACCCTTCATGATTCCTCCTCAACAACTCCTCTCTCTATCAACCCCCTCCTACCCACACATCTACTCCTGCCGCAGGGATCCCCTTGTCCTGGCCTCCGTCTTCTACTCCCTCTGGATTCAACCAAAAGCAATGAATGATAAGTGGCCACGGACAGTGCTAGTCACTTCCACACTGGGCTTTCCAAGAGACAGGGGCTAACCTAACCCAGCACTCAAAGGCAAGAATGGCAGAGCTGTCAGCCCAACAGAGCTACAGTGGTCCTCCTGCTTGGTGGGAAATGAAGGGGTGTGTCTACATCCCCACAGAGAACAGAAAACCCCTTAGAAGGATTAAGATTGCTGTAAGAGGAAGTGGGAACTTCACTCCTCCTTGCTGCTTGTGGGCTGAGTTACAGCTGCCCCTTCAATTCCAGGAGTCCAGAACCATAAGGCGGAGGGAGGAAGAAACCACCTAGGCTAGAAGATGCTCTGGCAGAGGCAGTCTGTTCTTTCATTCTTCTTGGCCCACCTCCTCACCTCCAACCTCTGCTGACTCCACATAAAGCTAAGAAAGGCATAAATTCTTTCTTCCTGTATTTTCCCAACAGTTATTAACATAAAATTAGTTACATGATCATGAGGGGTACAAGAAATATTTACTAGGCTCCCTATAATCAGACGAGAACATTTTGCCAATCCAGTGGTCATCCAGACACTGGTCACACTTGGCAACTGCCCATCCTCCTTCCTGCCCTTCTTGGGTTACATTCTGGAGAACGGCAATGCTTGAGTAAAACAGCATCTGACACCACTTTCTATGTTGCTGTGCTCCCGAGGCACAGTAATGGTCTTTAGGATAACTAACAGTCATCGAGCATCTGTTCTGGGCAGATGCTTTACACACATTTCCTCATTGTATCAATTAAGATGCTTCCTGTTACAAGGAATGGGAAGTTCACATTCAACTGATATCAGATTGCTGCAAAACCAAAATAGTGCAGGGAATGTGGGGTTCTTTTAGCTGAAAATGCCCAGCACTGGGATGGTTTCATAAAGTCATCCTAAAAAAGTAAAGTGTGATCAGGGTTCTGGCTCCTCTTCTCTGCAAATTCTCAGCTCTGTGCCACACTTGTATCTATTTAATGTTAGCAATTATAGCTGCAGCAGCTCCAAGCCTTCCAGTTATACACTGCAACTCCCAAAGGGAAAGCTGTCTCTTCTGCTTGTTTCTGCTAGGATTTTTCCCAGAACTACTCAGGAAAGCACTCTTATTACTGGCCTGAGCTGAGTCCTCCCTTGTGACCAAAAGAATGGTCCAGAAGATGGGCATCCATCCTGAACCAATCCCTATGGCAGGGGGAATGCTAGAGCCTTTCTGGACAAAGCCGATCAGAGCTCAACCCTAGAAGCAGGATTGGTGTTGATTTCTCTCACATAAACTTTCTACAAGAAAACTTGTGCAGGAATCAATCACAATATCTAAGTCACAACCTACATTAGGACAGCTTAGCATTCCTGTCATTACACAGTTGAGATAACTGGGGTTCCATGAGGCTAAATAACTCTCCCAGTATCATGAAACACAGAGCTCCCCTGCAAGCCTGTCTGAATCGAAAGTCACCTGTTCATGCACCCAACAGTTATGGAGAATGAGCCTCTGGTAGATTTCCCTATGTACTATGACAGTAAAATATGAATTTCCAAGTATTGGTCAAAGAACAGATCCTCTTCTGCCAGTTGGTAGTGTCTTATGGCTACAGGTATCCGTGGCTGGCTCCTGACATGAGATTTCCTAAGCAGGAAAGGAGGCTTTTGTAACAGAGGAGGAAAGGGTCCCATGGATTGCTTTTGTGTGGGGATTTGGTGATCATTCATGCTATGGAGAGACACAGAGTTATGAGTGGTGCTGGAAAGTCAATTTACACCCTCCTCCTAGCAACTAAACTAAATGTGAGCTAGTTCCTCTAGACATACATTAGGTAGGCTAAAAAGATGTACCGTTTGGACCTTCCTGAAAAGTCAACTACATTAAAGGAGCCCAGAGCAGCTTGTGTGGTTAGCAGAGAGCCCCCTTAACCTTCTTGGACGTGTTTGTACCCAAGAAAAATTGCTTGTCAAGTTGAGTGAGTAACTTTTATCCTGCAACTGATGGAAGTATGTGAGTATAAGTTGGGCTGGTGTTTAAAGCCCAGCCAGATTTAGGGGCACAAGTTTTGCTGTGGGCCCTCCTGAGACTTCCTCTTCCATTTCAGTGAGCGCCACTATAAGTGCTTAGAACATCCATCAGAACCAGTTGTAAATGAGAAAGGAGAGCCCATTTCTTTGTCCTTTGAACTGTGCTAAGTGATGTGTCACGTACACTCCCCTGGCAGAGACTAAGGCTGGGATTTTCTTACTTCCCAAATTCTGCGTCTGCTTTTCAGAAATGAACCGGCATCACTATGCTCTCTACGTGCACAACTGCCGCCTGGTCTTCCTCTTGCGGAAGGACTTCGACCAGGCCGACACCTTCCGCCCTGCAGAGTTCCACTGGAAGCTGGACCAGGTAAGGCTCCCAGGGCACACCCGTCCCACTGTCACCTATGCAAGGTTGATCCCTCTGCTCCCAGAGTAATGGCAGTGGAGAGATACCTCTAGGTCTAGTCACTTGCTGCTTAAAAAAAAAATCATAAAGTATAATATATTTACAGGTAAAATACCGCAGCAAAATCCCACTGAACAATGAACAGACGCTTAAACAATGAAGGACAGAAATGTAAACAGGTCATGTTAAGAGGGGAGTACTCATAAGAGAGGGAGGGTAAAGGAAGTTGAAAATGGTGGCTGTATTTTGTACACATGTATGAATTTGAAACTTGTCAAAGTCATTTTAAGAAAGGGGAAGAGGGAGAATAATAGAGGGGATGAATCAAACTAGGGTACATTGTACACATATATGGAAATGTCACAATGAAACCCCTTGTACAACTTTTATATACTAATAAGCACTTTAAAAATCATCTCAGAGAGGCACCCTTCATCTTAAGGTCAGGATGAAACCTGCTTCCTAAAAGTCAGTGGGAGAGAGAAGGACCATACTCCCCACCTGTGACTCTGCAGGTCCAGCAGACCTGCCCTCATGCATCTTTCTGATCTATTCTGCATTGAGCTCATGGAAAGTGGCTTGTCTTGAATATCAGGCAAGTTTATGATATTTATTAGCACATCTTTATATCGCCAGTGCTCCATGTCCCCCCTCTGGTGCTCTGCTGCCTACTTTAGGTGATGGTGCAACTTGCTCATGGTGACAGGAGGTGGAGAACAGAGACCTGGGAGACTTTGACATAGACAGTGACACAGTACCATGAGCAGTGTGTGCTCTTTTCTGAAGTGGAGAGTCTGACTCACTCCTGAGCCTCATGACTTGATCACAAGGACCACTGCATCACACTTGTCAATGACAAACCAAGCATCTGGCTTGATTCCAAAGCTTTGAAGTGTGTATTTCTGAGGGCTGTGTAGCTCTGGCCTGTACTCACTCCTCGGGGAAGTGGGGTGCTGCACCCAGAGGAAGTGTGGGTAGCAAGCCTAGAGCTGTGGAGCAGGCCTTCACTTAGATTTGAAAGGGGCTGGGGGTGTTAGGGGTTTTTGGTTTATTTAAAAAAAAAACAGTTACAAGTTATCAAAAGGGAAGATGCCAGCAGCCAGGGACAGGGGGTGTATGACAGGTGCTGCTTAAAGAAACAGATGGATTGATGCTCATGTTAGACTCTCACTGCCTGGGGCCCCAGCCTTTTGTCTTGTGTTTATTTTGTCTTTTCTATATACTGAGGTCCTCTATATTCTGGGGTCCTCAGGCTTCTTTTCTTCCTCCAAAGCTCATTGTGTATAGTACTGACTTGCCTTGTCTGTGCCAAATGTTTCCTAACCTGTACCCTCTATCTCCTATTATTGTTCCTATACCCCGTCCTCTCCTAAATCCCCAGACCCCACAGTGGGACTGACCTCAGAGAGAACTAATTCACAGTTAGATGTGTGTGATCACTTCGCTTCATCCTCACAGACGTACACATACATGCCCTTTGAAACAAAAATTCGTAATCTCTGAAATCCCCACCAACGGAGCTCCAGGAAATGTGACAAAATCAAAGACTCCAAACTCAGGAGAAAAATGTTTGGGGGTCAGTGGCAACTGCCTAACCCCCTCCCAGTAAATCCCATTCTGCTGGATCCAGGAATTCTGGAAAGATGGCATGTGGATTAGTCTGTGTTCCTCTAAGCTAGGAATTCTGGGCCCTGCAGAAATGGCACAATCTTGACATTGTTTGTATTTCTCAGCAACCTCACAGCTATGTCCTAAAGTGCCAGATGGCTTTTATGGTATGTTTTAAAATACATAATACAAATTGTAGTGGATTAAAATAAAGTCCATATTGTGAGGTTTTTTTTTTTTAATAAGAACATTGCTGCACTGATAGAGATAATTATAGATACCCTGCAGCATTTTCTGAGATGGGATGGAGAAGCACGGATACAGGCAAATGAAGTTGCAGGGTTTGAAATTAAAAATAGGCAAGGAAGGAATTCTGGTCGTACAGATAAATATATTTCAGAATCTAGCAATTCTGAAATCTGTTCATAAAGTGAATTTAAGGAAAGGCTGAGATTTACTGAACACCTTTCAAGCTATACTGGTCTCGTTAACGTACGTTTATAGGACTCATTCTGTGCCCTGCATGCTATAGCTGTGAGGCAACTCTGTGGCAGGCCTTTCCTGGCTCTGTGAGACAGGAGACCAAAGCCCAGTGACTTGCCCAAAGTCGCACAGCAAACTATAGCCAGCACCTTCCCTTCCTGTCTCTGATAGTGAGAATGTTAATTTAAATTTTAAAACATGTTCAAATTTAACATCTTAAATGTGTAGATCAGAATTATCTCTCCAATGCAAAATGTTCATAGTCTTGATGAAACTCTATGACAGTCTCAGAGAGATTCACTTTGTTCAAGTTCTGTCTTTGTCATTATCTTAGTCTGCTCAGGCTGCCATAACCAAATACCCTGGTCTGGATGGCTTAACATTTTCTCATAGTTAAGGAGGCTGGGAAGTCCAAGATCAAAGTGCCTGCTGATTTAGTTCCCATTGGGGCTCTCTTCTTAGCTTGCAGAGGAATCCTTTACACTGTCTGCATGTGTCAGAGAGAGACAGTGCTGATGTCTGGTCCTCTTCTTATTAGAAGCCAGCATTATCATAATAGGACTCCACCTTTGTGATACCACTTAACCTCAATTGCCTCCCAAAGGCCCCATCTCCAAATACATTGGGGTTTAGTGTTTCAAAATGTGAGTTTGGTTGTCACCCTAGTGTCTAACTTTGTAAAAATATATATATACTTGTTTTTCCATTGTATGCAAATTGAAAGAAAAAGATATACCATTTCTCTGTTGTATGTTGGATTATGTAGGAAATGTTTGTGAACAATTCAAAACAAAATGTGAGTTTGGGGAAGACACACTTATTCAGTCAATACCATTTCAGTGCTAAAGAAATTAACATTAAAAATATTTAACTAGAAGCCCCTGATCACTTGAACAATCACCTTCCCTCTGAAGGAAGCCACAGTGAGTAGGGTGTAGAAAACCTCAACAGTGCACATGACCCACCTTCTTCCTTACTCAGCTGCCTGTGTAGTCAGAAGTTTCTTGGATAGAAGTCATTTGATGCTCAGAATGTGTGATAAAGCCTTCTCCCCAGAAAACCAGCCTGGAGCATTGTCTCTCCCTTCTGCCCCTCCTTTCCCTCTGTTCCTAGGATTCCATACAGAACTCCATACTTAGTGCACTGCAGTTACCCTACTTGTACTGCCTGTCTGCTCACTTTGCACTGAGTGCCTGCAAGCAGGACTGATTCTCACTCATCTCTACTTCTTCAGTGCATTGTAGCCATGATCACATCCTTGGTGCCCAATAAGTAAATGTCTGCACAACAAGATCAGTGGGTACTAGTGGGATGGAGGAGGGGGAATGAAAGGGGTACAGGAGGGTGAATGTGGTCAATGTACTTTACATACTTGTACAAAGATAGAACAATGAGACCTGTTGCAATCATCTTAAGGGAGGATGAGGGGAAAGAGGATCAGTGATAGTGGGGGTGAACCTAAACATTGTACGTTGTAAGTATATATGGAAATGTCACAATGAAACCTCTCTTTACAACTAATATATGCTAATAAGAAGTTAATTTTTCTAAAAGGGAGAGATAAGTGAAACCAGGGAGGAAGAGACGAAAGAAGAAAATTCTGACCTCTTTTTCAAAACCTCCTGGTGATTAACTGATCTTTTGATTCATTTGATTGAGCAATTTAAACTTCTAAAAATTTTGCCAGTTTTTATTCTCTGGATCTCAAACACTGTTCGTCTTTGATCTTGGTAGCTTATTTCAAAGAGCCAGCTGGATTTACCACCACTGGGTCTATGCTGGCCTTTGCCACAGAGGACTTACGCTGATCTAATGTATTGTGTTGTAAGTAAACTCTGGACTGCCTTAGAAATTCATGAAGTAACATATCTGTTCTAATGCTCGATGGGGCTCATTTATTTCTTTACTCAACAGCTTGTTGTGAGCATAAACTCTGTGCCAGGCTCCATGCTGGGTACCCAGGATCACTGGCTAAAATAGAACCTCTGTTCTCTAAAAGTTTCCATGATCATGGAATCAAACAGACTGTTTACAGTTCCTGCAATAGGTGCTGGGGGTAGGTATGGAAGCCCTGTGAGGAACATCTGAATGGAGTGGAGAGCCTGATGGTACAGGGCCAGACAGCCAAGTTGGCAGGCAGTGAGCTACACAGTGCCTGGCTGTTGTCAAGCCAGGCATAGGCCTGGGGAGGAAGGGAAAGACTCGCAAGTGTCAGGACCCAAGTATGAAGATGCAGGTGGAAATTAAGTCCCAAGTAGATTATTATATCATGTCATTGAGTTGGTTCTTTAGCCCTAAAGGAATGGGCCACCATTGAAGTGTCTGTTATTCAATAGAAGACAATGAACATTAGGGATGGGCAAATGCTGGACCCCCTGGATGGGGAGCAGGTCAAGTCCCCAACAGTCCTCACATCCTGTGACTGTGCAGACACCCTTCACCCAAGGCACCTGATATCGACAGTGGTCTTCCTCCTCCTGTGTTCTTTGGCTCTTTTCAGTTTATTACATGAAGGATTTATACTAATCCAAGTTAAAAGTGGACCCCAAATGTTTGTATTACATAAGCTGTGAGATTTTAAAACTTGTGACAAGGACCAGAAGGAAAATTCTACTCATGGCAAGGAACTCCTCACTTAAGCTTCATCCAGCCCATAAACAGTTGAAACCCCAGACTCTTCAGCTGATCATCCTTAGCCAGTTCAGTCTGTACTTGGAACTAACACGTTCTTGCACTGATCACCCTATAGCTGAATTATTTCTCCATATTCTGGATGGTCAATTACAGTACCATTGCAAATTTCTTCATAAATGGTTTTGCTAGTTACTTTTTATCATAATATAGCAATCCTTGGAAAGTAGTAAGGGTCT